CGGATGCGTCCAGCTGCTCCTCGTCATCGGCGTCGCCCTTCTCCGGGATGGGCTTCCAGCCACCACCTCGATACGAGGACATCAACACCCGGATCCATGCCGGAGTGCACGCCGAGCTGCCATCGACCGAGATTGTCGAGATTGACTCGCGGGAACTCACCGAGATGCCCAAGCAGTCAGCCTTCCCTTCGGCTGCGCGCACACGGCCGTCTGCAGTGAACATGACGACGCAGCCGGACTTTGTGCCGGATATCACATTGTCCACACCGGCGCTTCAGGCCATTCCTTTGATAGCACCGACCGTGTCACCGACACCCCCGCCAGCCTGCCCTACCCCTCCAGCGGCAATGAGCGCCGTCTCTCCGACCGCGGGCCAGGCCTCCATCGACCCGATGAACCTGTTTTTGCCCTCCGAGTTGGACTCGACCACCATTTCGCAGACCAACTTCATGGACTGGGAGCCGGTTGCCTCCTCTTCGAATGGCATGACAATGCCTGGTGCGCTTGACGGAGTTGACGTCCAGTCTTTCATGGATTTCCAGAGCAGCGATGCCACGCTGTACACCTCGTCAAGCGAGGCCATCCTGGAGCGTCCTTCGCTTCAGCTGGACATGCAGGCGGGTCTGCAGATGGCACCCCCGCCGCTGCCGCCTACCCGGCCGCAGCGCCCCACGAGCACGGCGCCGGCGCCGCGCAGCAAGAACCTGTCGCCCAGCTCATCGGTCCGCTCGACGACGAGCACGACCAGCACCACGAGCACAACGAGCATGGGCAGTCTGATGAGCGACGTGAGCGATGCCAGCTTTATGAGCAACGCCACCTCTATCATCTCGCCTGTGTCCGACTGCAGCCATGGCGCTGCCACCAACCCGTGGTCGACGTCCACGTCCACTGGTGACCTGACGACGTCGGCTTCGCCGGCCGACGAATTCTCCAACTTCTTTGAGACCGACTTCTTTGCAGCTGCGGAATCTGGCCTGTCCACTGACCTGTCCAAGCCGTTCGAGTCGTGCTACGTTCCCGATATGGCTGGCGACTTCACCGATGTGTTTGACAGCCTTGCCAACGACGCCCTGCTCTTTCCGCTCGACACGGCCATTATGGGTTCTATAGAAGAGCAAAAGCTGCCCATGCCGTTGCCGTTGCCACCACCGGCCCCAGGAGCAGAGACTTCAGCCATACCTGCCAAAGACGACGTTGTTGACAACCGTACAAATACTGCTACCCACGACGACGCCGATCCCCTCTTCCTCGACGCTCAAGACATGGCTGCCTCTGCACAGGACTTGCTGTTGACGCATGTGATGACGTCTCTGGCCAAGCTTCGCGATATCGACTGCTCCAAGAACACGCTTGCTCTTCTCTTCCAGAACGCCTCGCCTCGCCTCATCATGGACACTGGTATCCAGGCCTTGCAGACCGCCATCGCGACGGGAAGCGAGACAATGACACCGTTCAACACTCTGTGCTTCCTCCACCTGATCTATGCCTTTTCACTTGTGACGTACGAGTCGGAGGCCGCGTTGCGGTCCAGTGCCCTCTTCAACCAGTCCCTCGAGTACTCCCGCCATTTCAGCGCCGTGGACCGTGAAAACTACCTGGAAATCGTCTCCTTGATCTGGCAGCCGGTCGAGATGACTGCTGCTGTCCTGTCTGAACGCATTCGCCGTTTCCGCAAACACGCTGCCAACCGTGCCGTTTCGTCGCTCTCGCTGGACGGTGCAGTGGCCAATGCCGCCCGCGCCTTCTTGGACGACCTGGAAATCTCGACCGTGTTTGTGCCGCTTTCGACTGCGTCTGATTTGATCAAGGCCTCGCCCATCTACTCGCTCCACTTTGGTCCCTACAGAAACAACAACATCCGCAACTCGCCCGCTCTGTCGTCGCACGCCCGCACCGTCATTGACTCGCTCCGTCGCAACTTCCTCCATGTCGCCGGCTTGAACACTCGCCTCGATGCGATTGCACGCCTGCTGGACGATGGTCACGCTTCTCAGAACGCGGGCCGTACCGGCAATGGTCTTGTTGACAGTGTCCGGTGGTTCGAAATCAAGCTCCTGCATGCCGGCAAGGCCTCTCTGGGCACGTCTGTGCTGTTCTTTGACCAGTTTGTGCGCCAGACGCGGTCGCTGTGTGATCCCATGTACGCGGCCCACGACACACCGCTGCGGCCCATGTACCACGTTGCCAGCATCGCCCTCCTCCGCACGATCTTCGACACGTCCAAGAACGTGCATCTGTCGCAGGGCATGAAGGTCGTGTCATCCGTGCTGGACGATTCGCTTCTGTCGGACAACCTGCTCTCGAGCGTCGTGACCGACACGACGACGGGCAAGGAACTTGCGGCCCACGTGCTGCCTCCTGCCGACGAGACCGTGGACCTGTCTCAGGCGGATCTGCTGTCCATGGACGAGACCCTGATGCCGGCTGCGGTGGATGACGAGTCGGCTGCTGCTGCTGCTGCTGCTGCTGATGGCGACGCGGCGCCGGCTGAAGACAGCGACGCCGCAACCAAGGCGGCAAAGGTCGAGGTCGAGGCGGACGACTGCTGCGAGCTGTGTGGTTACCGGCCCAAGGGCGACCCCAAGTGGTTCCGCGGGTCGATGGCCAAGCACCGGCTCACCAAGCACTCGGCCGAGGTGATTTACAAGTGCCCGTTCCCCAACTGCACGAGCCAGTACCGCAACCGCCCGGACAACCTGCGGCAACACCAGCTGGAGAAGAACCACTTTGTCGAGGGCGACGAGGTGGTGGCCAAGAAGCCGCGCAAGCATAACCGTCCGGCGTCGTCGGCACAGGCCGGCAAAAACGGCGATGCGTCGACACGCCCGGCCAAGAAGAGAAAGGCATCGAATTGAATGGCCTCTCTTTGTGAAATACGAGACAGAACTGTCTGTCACACTCTCCTTTGCTCTCGCACTCTCTCACTCTCTGACTCTCCTTTTTGCACTATTTTCCTATATTCTCGTTTTAAACGACCCTGATGTGATACCACTTTGTTCTACATATTCTATTATTTCCTAATTCTTTTAAAACTTCTATGGTTTGGCGTTTGGGGTTCTGGGTTCAAGTGGTCAAGATACGATCTCGAAAGACCTTTTTAGAGCTTGGGTCTGTTTTTATAGGCAACAGAGAGCCACGGCAGGTTTGCTGGTTTTGGATTTATGGGGAACCGTCCTCCAGGAGCTTAGATACAGAAAGAGCCCAAAAGAAATTCCAATGTTCGGTGGGTGCATGCACTCACTGGAACCATTCCAACGAGACTACTGTCGTATACTTGCAAACTTTGTAAACCTAACAAAAAGAGAGGAGACACGCGACTTGTTTTTATATTGGGGCGAGCCAAGACTTCTTCGCTTTAGTGTTGTGTTCAGGCCATTTGTGGCCCATGTTGAGCCACTTGCCCCGCTAACGCTCACTGACAGCAGACCGTTTTAGCGAGTGCCAACATCTTCTCCAAAGAGACTGGGAACAGGATCTTCAAGAAAACACACACAACACCAAGACAAACCTGCAACACGCCCGAACCATTCACACAAATGACAAATTAGTGTCCTTTACACGACATTACGTACCTACCCTCACACAATGGCCTCCTCAGCGACGGCCAGCGATGGCCTGCCGCGCATCACTGTCCTCGGCTCGCTCAACATGGACCTTGTCTCGTACGTCTCGCACCACCCCGAGCCCGGCGAGACCATGACCTCCAACGGCTTTGCCGTGTCACCCGGCGGCAAGGGCGCCAACCAGGCCATTGCATGCGCCAAGTTGTCGCGCACGCGGGCACCGGCGGCCGCCGGCGGCCAGGCGCCCTTGTCGACCTCAGCGGCCACGGCGGCCACGGCACACGTGAGCATGGTGGGCGCGGTGGGCGACGACGCGCATGGCACGGCGCTGCGGTCGAACCTGGCGGCGCACGGCGTGGACGTGTCGGGCGTGCAGGTGGTCCAGGCGGGGGGCGTGCCGTCGGGCGTGGCGGTGATTGTGGTGGACGAGCCGACGGGGCAGAACCGCATCATCGTCTCGCCGGGGGCCAACTACCAGATTGACGACAAGGCGGGGACGCAGTCGCTGGTGCCGGCGGGCACGCAGCTGCTGATTCTGCAGCTGGAGATCCCGCTGGAGCAGGTCCTGCGGGCGCTGCGCGAGGCGCGGGCGGCGGGCATCCCGGTGCTCCTGAACCCGGCACCGGCACCGGCGACCGAGGAGGCGCGGTCGCAGCTGGAGGCGGCGTTTGCGGTGACGGTGGGACATCTGGGCAAGGGTCAGGGCCTGGCGCACCTCGTCCTGAACGAGACGGAGACGGCAGCGCTGGTGCCGGCGCTGACGGTGGCCGATCTGGACACGGAGGCCGGTCTGGCGCGGGCGGCGGCCTACTTTTTAGCACTGGGCGTGGAGAATGTGGTGATGACGCTGGGTGGCCGTGGCGTATACTATGCATCGGCGGCGTCGGCCAACGGCGCGGGCCAGCTGCTGCCGCCGGAGAAGGTGGCCCGCGTGGTGGACACGACGGGCGCGGGCGACACGTTTGCTGGCCAGTATGCCCTGGAGGCTGTGTACGCGACGGCGGCCGGCAAGGCGTTTGACTGCGCGGCGGCGGTGCACAAGTCCAACCGGGCAGCCGCCAAGACGGTGCAGCGCAAGGGCGCACAGGACTCAATCCCGTGGCGGGACGAGGTTGAGTAGAGCAGGTAGAGCGTGGGCCATCCCAAACTTGTATTTGAATATGAAATTCGAGGTACATTTCAAGCCGAAATCATTCCCCCCCACACCACACAAAACAGGCAGCTCGCTTCAGAGCAAACTCTGCCCGGAAAAGAATAACAAAAACGTTGACAAAAGAGCTTCACTGGAGGAGATAGTCTTCCACTCGTCCACTTGTCCACTCGCCAAACAACAGCGCGCACGACCGCAAACCCGCTCAGAAACCCACGCTCACGAAACTCGGACCAAATCACTTTTGTAGTATTCATCACAATTGGCGGCCTCTCAGAGAGCATCTAAGGGTTGACGTACTCGGGGCGAATCTGGGTGTAACCATTAGAATACTTGACGGGCAGCTTGTCAATGTCCACGTCGTACAGAACACGCGTGTTGATAGGGCACGAGTTGACAATGCGCTTGCGCCAGGCAGCGCTCGTCTCGGTCTGCGCATCGGGTGGCAGCTTGGCAATCTCTTCGTCCGACAGGTTTGTGGGCGGGTTGGACAAGGAGACGCCGCAGATTTTGCAGAAGCTCTTCTTGTTGATGAACTTGCCGAACGTGTAAAACTTGAGGTTGTTGTCCGGGTCATGGAACGAGACCTGGTCGGCCGTGGGGTAGAACCAGCGGTAGCCGTTGCGCTGGCAGATGCTGCAGTCGCATTCGACGACGCGGTCGCCGTGCTTCTCGCGGTCCAGCGTCTCGTCCAGCGGCTGCGAGCGCAAGGCCACGCGCACGGCGCCGCAGTGGCAGCTGCCATGGTAGATGCGCGGCGTGGCGGAGCCATCGCCCTGGGGCGCGCCCGTGGGCTCGGTGCCGGTAAACGGGAAAGGCTCAAACTTGGGATCCAGGGCGGCGCCGTCAAAGGCGGTCTTCTCGAGGGCCCAGACGTCGACCGGGCCCTGGAAGCAGCGCGCGTTCAAGCCCTTGCCCATGGTGCTGTCGCTGGGCACAATCATGAGGGGCGAGCCGCAGTCGCCGCAGAATTTGTGATTGAACGCCTTCTTGCCAAAGGTATACGACTCGAGGTCGTCGATGCTGCCCTTGACAATGTTGATGTCGCTGTCCTTGGGCGGGAAGACAAAGACATAGCCCTTGCGACGGCAGATGCTGCAGTTGCAGACTAACCCTTTGGAAAGAGGCTCCGGCAGCGTCACCTCGTAGACAAACTTGCCACAGTGGCAGTTGGCACGGTACGTCGTCTCGGTCATTTTGAATCGTGTTCTTTGGGCGATCAAGGGGTAAACGCCAGCCAGAAAAAAAAACCTGAAACGAAACGAAAACGAAACGAAACAAAACGAAACCTGGAGACAAAGTGTCGTGGAGAAGTGTGAGACCACGGCAACGTTGGCTGTCAAAGCAATTGGCAGCTGAGGCTGGAGAGGGAGAGTCGCGGAGGAGGAGGGGGGGCTAGAGATTGGGTGACTTCGAATCCTGAAAGGAGGGGAACAGGACGGAGAATTGATGCCGAGTCAGTCTAGCTTGATTTCAAACTCGAGGTGTGTGTTGATTGTCTTCTAGTCGGCGGTGGCGATTGACGAGGAGATGGATGCAATATATAACCAGCCGAGCAAGGCAGCCATACGACAGTCGTTGCTCGTTCGGAGGGCGCAATCTGACAAATTCCGATTGCCCAGTGCATTTTTTAAACCAATCGTCCCTGTCCCGTTTCTGTCGCTTTGTGTTCCCTCGCCGACTGCGAGCACAAAACGATACTGATAAGATCGGCTGGACAGGTGGCCCGCTTAGCAACTGTTGGGCTTGCCAGGGGCGGGCAACGGGTGGCAGCCAATGCGAATTGGCAGCCAGCAAACCGTTGAATTGCCGCTAAGGCGAGGTGTCGGTACGATAAAAATGCCAGGGGGCTTTGCTTGACGTTGTTGGGAGGTTCACTTGATGACATATCCCAATCGATGAGGTGGTGATTTGGCTACGACATTTGTTGTTCTGCCATGCAGGAAGAAAGGGGGGGAAAGTTCCCCCGCTGCAACTGTCTCTGCGGAGCCCAACGCATTGTGTCCTAGGTCGTAGCTTCTTGTTTCGGCTGCGGCTGTGACCTGCTTGGCACCAACGCGGTCGTACCTTCTGTCACCGGGAAACAGGCTGACACAGCCTCGGTGCCTGTTGCCGCTTCCAGTTCCCTGATTCACGTCAGCACCCCTCCTTCCCGTACTGTCGTTAATTCGTGTTCCCCTCTTGCCTAGCCAGCACACCTTCCCCGCCTTTTGTCACTCAACGCGCCCTTTGCAAGACACGCGAATAACACGTAATCAGGTGACTCACGTGTGCAGTTCAAGTGCTTTTGGTGCAGCAGCGCACGGTGGCTGTTCGCTCACGCTGGCTGGCTGTGAATTTTCTTCCAAGCCACTTCAGAGCTCCAACTTCATGCAACGGGAAATTTCGCCTTGCCATACCTCTGTTAGCGAACCTCCCCGACAGCTCTCGCCTGGTCTCATTTTCTCCTTTTTTGGGGGATGTCGGCCTGATTCTCCTTTTTTCATAGCTTTTGCAAGGCTGTTCACATTAAGTTGCTTGCAGCCTTCTCGTTTTCTCGTTTGGCTTCCTCTTCTTTGACTCTCCTTCCGAGTCAACAACTCGATAACCCAACGCCTTGGCCGGCTTGATTACGATTTCTCGAGTCTTCGAGATTTCCACAGGACGCTTGTGTTGGGCGTTGGGGTTTGTTGAGGGGACAGAAAAAAGCCCAGTAAATGGCACGCTCACTGAGTAGAGTGAATACGCGATCGTTCAGCTCGAAGCCAGTCTTGTCAAGGGCAACATGATCCAAAAGCTGTTGAGCTGCTCATTAGTTCGCTTCAGACCGGGCATGTCAACGAGCTTAACAACGTCGCGGCATATAATTACGTGCCCTGAAAACAAACCAAGGGTCTCCAGTCTTCCTTTTTGCCCTTTTTTGTTGTTCCATTTCGTTCTTCAATGCTCTCCTTGCAAGACATTTCCTTGTTCCTCAAACTTTTCTTCACTTTTGCTCACCTTGACTCCTCATTTGTCTCCTTCTCCGTCTCGTCAGTTGTCGGCCCGTTCTTGTCTCGCCCTTGTTGCCGCTTCAACGCCGGTTTATTTGCGTGTGGGGGTTCGTCTGTCGTCCCTGGCTGGGGAGGGGCCCTGCGACAACTGCGGATGGCGAGGCCGACCTGACCGTCAACAAAAGACGGCAAGAGACGAATGTAGACACAAACACTATCACTACGGAGCAGATTCGAGAAGCAAAACTAACAGTCGGTGTATCTGCTCACCTGGTTGCTTGTTTTCTGTCTTGCTGGCAGGTGTAGTTGTTGTCTGTTTTTGGTTGATACTCGGCCTCTCTTATTCAGAGCTAACGAACTGGAGAAGGCCCGTCGTGCTCCGCTCCATGCGTTGTATTCTCCCACAGGCCCTTTTTTGGCCTTGTGAGGATATCATGTGCCCTGGATCTGACGTTTCTCAAATTCGGCTTTTCCTGCTCTCCGGTCCTCTTTTTCTATTTAAATTTTGCAGTGCGCATCCCACGCCCAGAAAACGCCGCTTGCGTTTGCCCACTTTGGCCCCCGACCCCCAAGCAAATCACAGGCAATACCATTATCTAACTTGAATGCAGAGAGAAGAGGGGGCCTGTGGGAAGCAAAACAGGGCTTCAAACGAGTTTACAAAGCTCACACGCAATGGAAGCTGTAGGGAGAAACTGGACGACAGACAATCTGACCAAACCTCAAGAAGTGAAACAACCGAGGCAACAGACAGCGAGCTGGGATATACAAAACATATGTGTTGAGCATCGGGCAAGAGTGAGTCTAACATCCACCAGTTACTTTTGCATCTGCTCTGGCATTTGCATCCTGCAGGGCAGAACAGGGAACAGCAGAGAAGAAGAACAAAGTCCTGCAGGATGCGTCGACCTCTGTTGCACCTGCACCTGCACCTGCACCCCACAGCTGGCTGCATTGTATTGTGTACGTCGTGGAGGTACGAGAGGGAGGGAGTGTGGCTTTAGAGGGTGTGTAGACCGTTTTTGTTGTCTTTGGACAAGGCCGCCTCCGTTTTGTCACAGCCGCGTTTGCCTCGTTGAAACTTACTCGTTTTGTGTTCCAGGCTCCAGGCTATCCACTGTCGACGTTGGATACGTCGACCGCCGTTGCCGTGGAGCATCGGGCGAAGGGCGAAGCTCGGTTGGGAAGTCGAGATTCCTCACGGCAAGGCTGCAGGGTTTCTTTTCTCGTTTAATAAGCAAGTATATGACATGCCCCGCGGACGAAATACGGCAACCTAGGAGCTCCGCCGTTTCTTGTCGCTCGGGATAAACTTGACGGCTTAACGCACAGCGAACCGAGTTGCCAATCTGAGAAAACGGTGCTCTGGCAGGTCCGAGACTAAAAGCTAGTTTGCCCCGGACGGCTGATGTGGCTTGGCAGCCGTTTGTTGTTTGGGTGCTCTTTGACTTTGTCTTGTGGTCTTCTACAAGGAAGGCCAGTGGAAGTGAGACGAAAATCTCACGGTCGGTGACGTATCGATGTCTAGATACGACTTAGCGGGTGTAGGTCGCTGGAGCCAGGCTGCCAGGGGCCTTCAGGCGCTTCAGAAGCTTCAGCAGGGGAAACAGCGCATCGGAGGATGGTGGCGGGCAGCTGGAGCGAAGTTGGAAGGCACCCGGAAAGGCAGGCACAACCCCACCTCGAGGTGCAGGGGGTCTCCACCACGTTTTCACTTCTTTTGGGTCTGCGCCTTCCATGGGAATCTGTATTACAATATCAGATTACTCGGACAATCAACGTCAACGATGCGGATCGTGGAAGAAATAAAGTAGTCGCGGCAACGAGGCAAGCCGCATGGGCGAATGAGGAGAGAGAGGCTGCAGTGTCACGACCTGCATTTTTACACGTAATGCATTCGACATTCGATGGAACGGTCCCCCCTTGTTCCCGGCTTCTTTTTCGCTCGAGTTTGCATCTCTCCCGCCCAGAGCGGCTTATTCAACAGAGCAAACCGTGAGAACTCAAACTGCGAGTATCGTATATCGAGAGACGGTGGCGTACAATATCTCGTGGCATGGGAAGAGCATGGGAAGAGCTGGATGTGAGTAAATAGGAATGCTTTCGTAAGGCGATGGAAAGCTGGAAAGAATATGCGTCCGGTGAACTTCCCTTTTCGGCTATAGTGATGATTCGGGCCACCTTGCCCTCCAAACCCATCGTACCTACCCTGAGAATGCTTCTATCCTTCCCTTCGGATCCTTCCTTTCTCGGTCGTCGATGGATACAACCGGCCGCAGGCTGTACTTTACGACCTTGGCTGCCCCGTCGCTCTTGCCGTCAATGGCATGCTTACGGATCAGAAGACACATGAGAGAGCCGTCAACTGTAAGACAAGATGTGGTGCGTTGTATACTTTTCACGAGCTCCCCTCGTGAAACGCATAGCTCATGCAATGTACCGAGTCGAGAGGCCGTGCAAACACGACAAGTGCCAAGCAAAGGAGAGCAGAGACCAGCCGGCCACCGGAGCCATTGAATGCTCCGTCAATGTCCAGATTGACATCCCCCAAGTCGCTCCTTCCCTGTCTGAGACCACCGAACGATCCGCGGAACATGCAGCCAGAGCTTGGAGCTTGGAGCTTGTCGGAGCTAGTGCATGACTCTCCTGTTATGCTTTGTCACCGGGGGTGTGAAAGGGAAAGAACGAACAAGGGCTTTGGCAAAAGACGGGGGACAAAGAAAGAACGATGCACGCAATCGATAAAACTGGCAACGGAGATCGACTCGCAAAACAGACAAAGATCTGCCGCCAAGTATTGTCCCCATTTGCTCCTTTAACTTTCTCGACTGTTACCTCTCCCCTCCTCTGCACCTACTATCCCCTCCCCCCAAGTCTATGGATGCAAGCCGAAGTGACCTGCATACTACTAGCGACGCATTACGAGAAAAAGCCACCTTGAGACAGGTTGCCCTGAAGCCCAGAGTAGCGTCCGTTTCTTTTGTTATGCTGACGTATACTTACTTACAGACACGGATGTCAATATACACCTGCCAGGGCTTAAGTGCCTCACTGGTCCTTGGTATACATCATTTTGGGGGAGCTTACCCCAGCAACTCTGCATTTCCGCCACCCCATGCACAGGTATTAGTGAAGCTGCACACCATTTATTCAGCATTGGCGTAGCTTCCAACCGTTCAGCCACCTGTATGCAAAAGAGGACTGAACGCCAAAGATTCGCAGACTACAGACCCACGGCATATGCCTCCGTTATCCGTCCGTTTCTTTCGGTCTTTGATCCGTTTTGACATGGAGGCATGTACCCCGGCCGGCCGCTTACCACTACAACAAATAGCCTGTCTCTAGCTACGTACATATTGGTTTTTAATCCTGCACTTGTATTTAGTCTCGTCTACTTGTATTTTGTACCTTTTCTTGAGCTGTCCTTCTAGAAACAAGCAAACATCTTTTATATGTTCCTTGCTTCCAACCTGACTCTCATCTTCGTCTCTCTGAATTCTATATAAAGACAAACGCCCAGGACACGTCCCTGGTCCAGTTGGATTTTGCTGCCTCTCAGGTGCCCATCTATCTGCATAACTCTACCTTTCTTGACGTTCCGTGCCCTCTCCATCATCACACGGACCCCTGAAAGACATACAATGTCTCCTTCGGCAGAGCTTCTAGAGCCGCACGGCGGTGCTGCCAGCACCACGCAAAAGACGGCTCCGGCGAAGACGATGGCGACATCGACCACTGCCGATTCCAAGCCGGCCGGCGCCAGCCACAACATTATCGACATCCGCCAGGCTTCCGTCGAGATGAATCTCCGCGACGAGATCGTCTCCCAGTTCTGCGCCAAGAACGGCCCACGTACAATGCCAACCCTGCTTCTCTATGATGAAGCCGGCCTTCAGCTGTTTGAAGACGTACGTTGTCCTTTCACGTCCTCCATCCTCGTTGGGTCTCTGCTTTCCTCTTTTGCTCTTGAATCGAGACCTCTTGCTTGCGCCCCCGTATTTGGGGAGCATTTTTTTCGGGATACCTTTCACGGCCCTGCAGCCACGGCTTGGCTGTCGTCTTTCCGTACCCCAGGAAATGGCAGGCACCAGTGCAGCCGTGCCAATGAGCATGCCCTGCGATCCTGTTCGGTGCAGTGTTGCGGCTGAGCTTGCTCTCGTCCCCCGTCACACCCTCCTTTCCGGCCACTTTTGCTGCCTTGCTCGATTAGCCAATAGGGCATACCGGCTGCCCAGCATTCCGTGTCCCTGCTGCTCTTACTTGCTCCCTGTATCTGCTTGTTTGTGGCAGTTTTTTTATTTTTTTGTTTTATTTTTTTATTTTTTTCGGTCCCCCGTCTGACACTGCTTAGATCACGTACCTCGAGGAGTACTACTTGACCAACAATGAAATCAACGTGCTCACGGCCGCGGCTGCTGAGATTGCAGAGCTCATTCCCCAGGACTCTATGATTATTGAGCTTGGCAGCGGGTTAGTTCTCCCTTCTCCCCTTCTCCCATTCTTTATTCCCTTTTTTGTTTGACGCTTTGCTAATTCTTTCCCCGTTTCTTGTAGCAATCTCCGTAAGATCAACTTGCTCCTCCAAGCTCTCGAAACGTCTGGCAAGCGCGTCGAGTACTACGCCCTCGACCTCTCTCTGCAGGAGCTCCAGCGCACACTCTCCCAGCTGCCGCGCTATGAATATGTCCGCTGCTTCGGCCTGCTTGGCACCTACGACGACGGCCGGGAGTGGCTCAAAACGCCCGCCATCCTGCATCGCCAAAAGTACATCGTGACTCTGGGCTCGAGCATCGGTAACTTCCACCGCGACGACGCCGCTGATTTCTTGCGCGGCTTCTCTGACGTCCTGCATCCGGGCGACTCGATCCTGGTCGGCCTTGACGGCTGCGTCGACGCCGACAAGGTGTAGTAAGTTACTTCTTTTTTTTTTTTTTTTTTTTTTTTTTTTGGTTATTCGAATTTCTACATGCAGTTACTGACAATTGTGCAGCCACGCTTACAACGGTAATTGCGTCCCTCGCGGCTTCCCTACATTGTTCCTGCCATGTATGGAAATACTGACATTGTGACCGAACCAGACAAGGAAGGACTCACACATAGGTATGCTCTTGCCTTTTATGTCTTCCTCAGCTCCCCCCTGTTTACGTCTTTTTTCTCCCCCCCTTTTCTCGTCCTCTTTGTTTTCAACTTACCACTAACCTCACAATCAGATTCGTCCTCAACGGCCTCATCAATGCCAACCGCATCCTAGGCAAGGACGTATTCCAGCTGGATGATTGGCGCGTCATCGGCGAATATGTGCACGACATTGACGGCGGCCGGCACCAGGCCTTTTACGCCCCGGTTCGGGACGTTGAGGTTCTCGGCGAGCGCATCCAACCGCACGAGCGCGTTCAGGTTGAACAGAGCGTCAAGTACTCGCCGGCCGAGGCCAACTACCTCTGGCGCTCCGCCGGCCTGACCGAGACCTACAAATGGCAGAATGACAGCAAGGAGCACGGTACGTACAGGCTTATAAAAGATGAAGCTATTTTCTTTCTCTTTTTGCCATTGCTTGGTTTTTGTGTTCCCTGACGTCCCTCTCTGGTCCTCTCTCCCGACTGCTTTACGAGACACACAAATTCTGTGCCACAATCTCACTCGGCTACTCGAGATCCCACTTACACCGTTTCCTCTCTTCCGTCGGCTCTGCCTATCCTATGCACAAACCTCCCACACCGTTTCTGCAGCACCCCACGCTATCGCTTTCGCCATCCCTCGTTCAGCAGCCGCCCCCTCTTCCCCGGCTGGCCGTGTGACTTGGGATTTCAGTGGATCCCATGCAGAATAATAACCAGAAGCGACACTTTACACCACTTTGACATACTTTGTCCTCTGTACACAAGTTCCTACTCATGATGCAACCCTTTCCTTCACCACTTTTTGTCTCGTGATATTTCGGGATTCTCTCTTGTCATCTTGCGGGGGTTGCAACGCACCTTCTTGTTTTTCCCCATTTCAGTAGCAGCCTCACTTCATGTGTGGTGGCGTTTTTGTGACCTCTTCTTATGAAGTGGAGTATTTTTGTCCTTCCACTCGAACTTATGCACCAGTTCTGTTTTTGTTGGCCAACATTTTCCGCCTTACTTTTTTCCATGACTCCGGGGATTGTTCAAATTACCTGATGGCGGCCATCGCTACAACGCTGGCCGATGCTAGCCTTGCCAGCTGGTGTTAGTTGCCCGGCATTTGGCTCAACCAAGCTCGACATCCAGAGCAGCGATGGGAAGAGCCGGCCAGCCTTCCATATTTCCGCGCTTCGAGCTTCTTTTTATAATACTGTCATCATTTGCCTTGCGCAACCTTTGCAATACAGCTCATCTCCATACCACCGGTCAATACTAATGTTGATTTCTTTGTCTTTACCTCCAGGACTCCACCTCCTCACAAAACCAAAGATGCCTTTCAGCCTACTCCCCTCCGTCTACGCAAAGTCGATCCTCCCGTCGGTAAAAGACTGGGAGGCTGTTTGGGAGACTTGGGACACTGTGACTCTCAAGATGCTTCCCAACGACGAGCTCCTAGATAAGCCGATCAAGCTAAGAAATGCTTGTATCTTTTATCTGGGTCACATTCCGACCTTCCTCGACATCCAGCTGTGCAAGACGACGGGCGAAGCCGCGACCGAACCCGCCTACTACGCTCGCATCTTTGAGCGTGGTATCGATCCGGATGTCGACAACCCGGAACTCTGCCACGACCATTCAGAAATCCCTGACGAGTGGCCTGCGCTCAATGAGATCCTGGGCTACCAGAAGCGGGTCCGCGAACGGATCCGGGCATTTTATGCAACCAACGTCGGCAGTACACCCCAGACGGAAAGCCACGCACCGGTAACCCGGCCTGTGGCCCAGGCCATTTGGGTCGGGTTTGAGCACGAGCTCATGCACCTTGAGACACTGCTCTACATGATGCTGCAGAGCGATAAGACCCTCCCTCCACCGAACGTGCCGAAGCCGGACTTTGCGAAGCTGGCTGCCAAGGCGCGGGCGGCCCGTGTCGAGAACCAGTGGTTCGATATTCCTGCTCAAGACCTGGTGATCGGCATTGACGATCCCGACAATGGGACCGACCTGACGCGCAACTTTGGATGGTACGTATGGCGAAGAAAGAATGACTCGATGCGCAGCACAAAATATTAATGTGGCGGCAGGGACAACGAGAAGCCAGCCCGTGCGGTGCACGTTCATGCTTTCCAGGCTCAGGGGCGGCCAATCACCAACGAAGAGGTAAGAGTGAAATATCAATAAACTAGCGATATGCATCGACGGGCTCTAATAGAAACTCTAGTACGCGCTTTACATGTACAACAACTCCGTCGACAAGAATCCTGTTTCGTGGTCCGATGTTACCGAGCGCACGGAGGGTCACGCCAATGGACTATCGAATGGGGTTTCACACGGGCATGCAAATGGCCATACGACTAACGGGCACGCCAATGGTGACTCCAAGACGCTTCCCTCGTCGTTCTTGAAGGGTAAAATGGTGCGCACAGTGTACGGCCTCGTGCCCCTTGAGTACGCGCTGGACTGGCCCGTGTTTGCCTCATACGACGAGCTCAAGGGTTGCGCATCGTGGATGGGTGGCCGCATCCCGACATTCGAAGAAGCACGCAGCATCTACCAGCACGTGGACCTTTCACGGCAGAAGCAGAGCGCCGACAAGAAGCTCGGCAAGACGCTTCCAGCAGTCAACGGCCATTTGTCCAACGACGGCGTGGAAGAGACGCCCCCGGCGGCCGCGGACGTGGCCGGCAGCTCGGCCGGGCAGGGCGACAACTTGTTTGTTGACCTGGACGGTGCCAATGTAGGCTTTCAGCACTGGCACCCCGTGGCCGTGACGGCGCACGGCAACCGGCTGGCGGGTCAGGCCGAGATGGGCGGCGTGTGGGAGTGGACGAGTTCGCCGCTGCGGCGTCATGACGGTTTCGAGCCAATGCGGCTGTACCCCGGGTACACGGCGGACTTTTTCGACGAGAAGCACAACATTGTCCTGGGCGGATCCTGGGCTACGCACCCGCGCATCTCGGGCCGCAAGTCTTTGTAAGTCTCTCTTCGCACTATCTCTTGCTGTTCTCTTTTGCCGAGCCACTGCTAACAGAACCGCAGCGTCAACTGGTACCAGCGCAACTACCAGTACGCCTGGGTCGGTGCCCGGCTCGTCCGCGATATCTAGCAACATTAGGTTGGCTGGCAAAGGCAAGAAGGCATACTATATGAGTTTGGATTTTTGTTCACCGGAAAGGAGTGCAAATTAGCAAGTAGTGTATGCGGACACAGGCTGAATTTGTAACTGCCTTCCATGCCATTCCTTTATGGATGTTTCTGTATCGCTCTGTTTTGTTTTTGACTTCGAAGTCCGATTTTGGCAAACTCCTCTCTTTAATTGCAGAATGAAACCTGTGCAGTGCAATTGCTGCTTTTCTATTCAAACATATGTAGTCCTATCGTGAACTATTAATAGAGTAGGAATGGGAGCCGTGCGACTGCGTCCACAAGTGTTGTCGTCCGCCGACAATACACCAATGAGTCCGACCATCATTTAACCAACGCCGAGGCCGGCGATCCCGGTTGTCGACAACAACATGCAGCGAGAATTCAATTTACTTGGTATGCGACTTGGAACTATTTCCCTTCTTTACTTCAAACGTCGAGAACATACCAAGTTGTGACAAATGTCCTGCATCTATATTTATACGAGTGCAGCTGCGACAAGAGTGCTGCCGCCACCCGTCGGGGGCCGTTTTACAGTTTCTGTCTACAAATATAGGATCAGTAAAGAAGACAAGGTAAGTGCAAAAGGCGCAACGGTTCCTTGATGCATAACCACCTGCATCCTGCTGTGGCTCCCTCTGATGCACCTTGAACATCAACAGAGGATGTCGGTCGATAGTAGCTACGGCACAATGTCTCCTGAATGCGCATCTCGTGGTATGAACACAGCAGATGTGCTGCATTGCTGTGCTCTCTTTCGTTGAGTTCCTCTTGCTGTTTCACACTCATACAACCTAATCTAAATCCAAAAAGCACTTGAAGCCCGTTGCCCGTGACACAAAAAGCACGAAACCAGCATCGCAATGGAAGACAGCAGTGCATATACTGCAGCGCCTGTGGAACGTGAAGCTGTACAGTTGCTACGGCGTCGGGAACATCTCATTTACACCGTACTCCTTGGGGGCGCTGCCTGTCCCCTTACCGTATGCAGGTGAAAAGGGGATGCATCGCAGGTTGATTCCTATCACGGAGGCTATGGCACGATGCCCAGAGGCACGATGCCTATACAAGACTGCCCCCTTTTTCGTATTCATAGTCAATCGCTTCCTTTCGCGTAACGTGCGCGCGTCTATTTTTCAGCTCGACATGCACTCAATTTAACAATGGAGAGTACAAGTTTGCTGGCATCTACTTTGGGCCTGCCGCCATGCCGTTTTGGCTCTTTGCTCGTCCCAACATGAAAAAAGCTTCATTCGGGACGAGGTCCCCTGTCGTATCTGTGTCGAACACGTCGTCGTGTGGGTTCTTGCTAGATGGAGCTCGTTTTTCTTTTCTTTTCTTTTCTTTTTCTCTAGCCTGCCTTTTTCTTTGCCGAACATGCACGATTCACCGTACCTTTGCGCTGGCAGGACAGGGCCGCGTGCAGGTCTCTTGTCACGATCGGCATTTTGGTCCAGCCGCGCCCCATTTCCGACGACACCTCACGTCTTGGTTCTCGGCGTCGGCATCTCGTTGGCGACAGATGGCAGATTGCTCATCCTCTTTGGCATTTTTCACGTCTTGATGGCATGTTCGTGTACATCGTTTGTTTTGCGAAGCTGCTGCCATGTTCCTTTGATACCGGGCCACTGTTTCGTGCAGGGCGTCATGTCAATCTCCGTCCGTTTACGACGTACTGATCCTGTCGCACAAAGATCAAATCCACGTGTCGTCTGTTTGGCACGCAACAAAGCGTCTTGCGACGAGTGTCTCCAGGCCTCTTCCATGTCCGAATATCCAGGGCAGGTGCAGGGTGTTCTGTCGCAGGATGGCAACGTCAAGGCCAATCGTTCTTTCCCCTACACCATATGAGACGTCCTCCCGCGCCTTCCTTGCAGGTTGCATTTGCATTTCATCGTCCGGGGAAGGAGCACCCCGGCGATGCAGACGACAACCGCCTGTTTTACAGTCATTTGGATCAGGTAGTCTGGTAGTCTATTTATGGTAGAAACATCGTTTCGAGTACACTCCCATGTGCGTATGACGCTGGACCACGACATCACATACGACGTATAAATAGCCTCCACCTACGAGGGTCGCGAGCCTGTCCCTGTCCCAGCTTGGCCTTTGGAGCAAAAACGTTCGCTCGGAGAAGTGCAGCTGATCGCTCGAGTCCCAAAAAAAAAAAAAAAAAAAAAAAAAAAAAAAAGAAAGTAATGCCAGTCGTTCCCGGCAAGTTATCGCGCGTCGTCAGCCGTGGCCAGACGTTCCCGATTCTTCGTCTCGTCGTTCGTTTTCTTTGTCTCCAGGGTCTCTGGGTTTCACAATCCTAATCAGCAACCATTTACTCGGGCGCCACCAGTATCGGAAACAGACCTACGTCCACTGCCGGAGCCCCGAGAGAAACTCACGGTCCCACGTCAGAAAGAAGACAGCTACATAGTAGATACACGTAGGTTGCAGCCGTCGCTGGGCGATAATTGGGGCCGGCAACATTGGCCGTACGCCCGGGGGCATACTCCATTTGAGATTTGCTGTGATCTAGACTCTAGACCTTGTTTGCATTCGCTGACTGTAGCTGCAGCTTTTGGTAGTGGCGTTGGAGTGGAGTCGGAATCCCAACGATGCCGAACAAAAAGTTGGCAAAGCGCAACGGCAGCGGGCGAGAGGGATGACTGTTGGGAAGAGGGAGCGTGAGCGATATGCAACGTATGCAGTGCTGAGAGTGCGAGAGTGCGAGAGTGCCTGGGTGCCCGAGTCCGTATGCAATTAATTGTACTTGCACTCAGGACGTTTGATGTGCCTTTATACACCGTACGTCATACAAGCGCAACACTTGGCGGTGGTTGTCGATGGACAAATCAGAATCAACACCGGAGCGGAGAGGCAGACGATTAGAAACCCGGCAAGTGAGCTGGGGAGACATCACTCTCAGTGCAGGAGTTCAGGTAGGTTCAGGTTCCAGGGAGTCGGTGCAGATTCCAGGTTTCAGGATATCCAGGCAGCCAGGCTTCAAATAATCAGTTGGCGGTCTGTTCGTGTCCAGACTCTCAGAACAGTAAAAAACAGGTAAAACTTGACGATCAGGAAGGAAGGAAGGGAAATGGAAGGAGGCATCGACAGGGGTTAGTTTAGAGAAGCAGCTGTAGCGTGCAGCCCAGCAGCCTTTCAAACCTTGAGCCTTTGTTCGACAGGTTTGTATCCTGGCATAGCAGGTTTTCTCATCGACAGTCTACGATGTACGGCTGACTCACAACCAGTTCTCGACAAGGCTGGTCCCGCCTGCAAGCACGAGCGGAGCAAACAAGCCACTTCTCTGCTGTGCGACCTCCTTGTTGCAGTATCTCGGAAAGGAAGAAAACGGCCCAGAGGCAGCCTCCTCGGATATGTGGGCTGTCATGGAGGGGGCGAGGTCCTTGAATATTTATTTCTATATTGGTTCATTGGACAATGCTACTAGGGTGCCAAGTTGGCTGACTGGCTGGCTCTGCGTCGTTTCGGTTTCTCTTCTTTCTGTTTCGTTGTGTGCGGGGGTCGTGCCAAAAAGTACCGTTGACGTTTCGATATTGCAGTTCTGGCTCGCCAAAGCAAAGCAGCACGGCCAATATACGAAATATACCAACCGACGCAAGGGGTAAACATGTTGCCCAGTTTGGTAAAGGCAAAATGGAAGAAAGTGAAGTGCGGCGCAGGTACGCGGCAGTTGTACCACTTTTGGCGACAAAAATTGAAGAACCAAGAGGACAAAACGAAAAAGAAAGCGGAGACACACTGGCGATCGTTTCCGATCATTCGAGAAGACTTGGAAACCTCTGTGTCTCCGTAGCCTGCTTGGTGTTTGCGGCTCCGTTGCTTCTCAGTTGCTTCTCGTTTCTTTGTTCTCGTTTTCATCCCGCTCTACCTCTTTTTCGACATCTCGTTCTCCGCATATCTCGTCCCGTCCTGCAAATTACGACATATGCAAGCACTGTAACAAAGGTGAACCCCTGTGCCCACATTTTGGCTGGTGGCGATGACTGACGGCCACTTTTGTCGTTACTCTTCCAGTGGGGCTGACGGCCCACTCGATCGCAAACGAAGACAAGCGAAAGGCGAGCATCGGGGCAAGGTCACTTTCCGATCCCGGTCAAGGATGCCTCGGATGCTCTCAACATGGCACTTGAGGCCCTGAGCCCGTGGCGGCCAGACCAGGGATCCAGCATCGCGAGAGGCCCACTGAGAACGCCATGAGGCCAGCTGCCAGTCCTTGCCGTTCCTTTTTCCTTTTACATGTTTTGTCGGTGTACCACATACTTCCGTACCATCATTCTCAAGTCCTCTTATCTCTTGCCGCTCTCATGCACGATTGCGTAGAGGTAGGCCTGTCTTATCATAAATAGTCGGCAAATGCCACAAACCCACCTGGAGCCCCATCTGTCCTGACAACAGCGTCTCGATCGCGGCTTGATGAATGAATGCTATCCATTGTGCCTTTTCAGCCTTTACCGCCACTAGGTCGCTCGGGTCGATCTAAGGATCTCTCGCTCGTTTCTTGGCAAGATAGTCTGGTGGTGTCCGGCCGTCCGTCGCCGCTTCAGCTCTCTTGTTCTCAACCTGCGAGCCTGCTTTCCACGCTTCGTACGATGGCCCTCCAGGGTTGGTGCTGGCTCCCTCCGCGATCTGCAGCTAGCCCTCTACCAAGTACAAGTACTGGCGTCTGGAAGTACGACGTGCAACTGATTTGCCACTGTAGAACAGGGCGTTGCGTGGTTTTGGTAAACGCCGACCCATTCTCAACCCTTCTCGCCTTGGACGTCACAAGATTTGACATGGCCAATTGTATCACGGCTGCGACAACAGTGGGCTCTTGAGATTGGCTTGCTTTTGATTGTAGCTACGCCGGTTCATGGTGACATCTGGTGCAGCATACATTTTGTGCGAGTAGATACGGTTTTACAGACAGAGTACGACATCCAGCCACTTGCTTTTGTGCTACTCGTACATGTAATTACTGAATAAACTGATAGGGTGCTCTGATAGTGTGCCCCGTATTGCTTGCACGAAAACAAAGCGTGCTTCTGCTGCCAAAGCTGGACCCGACCATGGCGCAGACAGCCAATCGAAAATCAACATTGAAAACTGAGAATCGAGGAGCCAACGCAAGCCCGGTTTTTTAGTGCCGGTCCCAGTGTTGTATGATGTTGGATCGTGTTAGTGTGTACGAGAATAGAAACAGGGGCGGATGAACGGTGGGAATAGTGAGAGAACAAAAAAAAAAAACACACAATTGCCATCTAGCACAGCTCAACGTCTTGACAACCAGCTTTCGTGCTCTTCTGCGGCCTTTTATAACGTCGGGCTCCCGAGTCAACTCACCGGTTTTCCTGTCTTTTTGCTCCCGAGATGATGTTGTCGACCGGATCCATTCGTCTCCTTTGTATTCGAGACCGTAATTTTGTGCCCGTCCCAGGTCCATCCAGCGGCATCATCCGCCCTTCCGAAGCATGTGTCTTTGGGCCAGGTCTGCTTGCAAGGAGAGGGTGGCACAGAGCAGTTCGCGACAGATAAAAGACAGGTTGGAAACGATCGGGTTGCATCTGCATCACCCGTCGTGAGTTCTTGTTTTACAATTAGTATTATCACTATACTGCGTCTTCACTATGCTTCGTTTTTCTTATCGTGCCGGTCGTCCCTCGTCCGTTCCAGGTCGCTCTGCCCATCATGCTCGCGGCGGTTGTCTCAACGGCGCCGATCACGTTCCCCTTTGGTGCCTCAATATGTTCCTCCCCTTGTTCCCTCGTTGTCTCCTCGCTGCTCCCCTCCCTGGAAGAATCCGAGCCTCCCGGACGAGCCCTTCTGCCAAAACAGTCGTCGATCCAATGAAAAAAAGCCTCTGTCTGCTTTAACCCCCCCAAATTTCAAAGTAAGCCAAAGCGTTGCCGTTTTCTGCCATCGGCCCTTGGCAGAGGAAGCCATCCCTCTTGTGGCTCGTATTTGTTGGGAGACGAATAAGCAGATAAGACAGACACACGCAAAGGGGACATACACAACATGTAAACTACCTTCCCCGCTGCGACAAAGTACACAGTATTGCCCTCCACCCTTTATGCCAGTACTTTACCCACACAGCCTTATGTGCGTGTCTGCATGTTGTGGCAAAGGTGATCTCGTATCCAGACAGGCCTCGACACCACATTCAATGCTGCATATTGGTCTTGATTGCCTGGAAGGGCATCTCTATGGGCGTGCATTGTTTAGCGATCGTGGCCCATCGCCTGTTTTCTTGCAACGGTGTTTTTGGCTCCGAGCTCTCCATGTTTTATCCGTGGATTTTTCATCATATGCTCGTCCGTGCTGCCTTGCCCATCTCGATCCGCCGAAGCGGACGCTCGCTGCAGAGCGATAGTAAAAGGGAAAACGGCCACCCACGACAGGGGTCGGGAGAAGCGTTCGTTTCACGGGAAAAGAAGCCTTTCTGTAAGTGCGACACAACGACGGCGGCAATCCTGAAACAGCCACCGCGTGGCAGCCCAGCGGTTCTGCACGAGGTAAAGTAGGTCCGATATGGGCCGTGGTGATATTGTAAATGCAAATTTGCAATTGACGATATCGATTGGGATGCAGGATGGGCTGCAGGATGGGCTCGAGAAGAAGAAAAAAATTGCTGTTGCAATGCGATCGCTATTGGCCTTGTCGCACAATTCAGTTGCTACGCAACCTCAGTAAAATAGAGTGGCTCAGTGGGAACGCACGATACAGAGCACCCTAAAGTCGCTCTTAGCGCACTCCCTTGACGTCAGCTCCAACTCTTCCCCCCAACCACTCTGGATGCTCACTGCCAACCGGGCAACCAGGGCCAATGCCCAAAGATGCCAAAAGGGGGGCGATCGACCACCAAAACCTGCTGCCGCTAGGCCAAATGCAGCACACTTGCGCGGTACTCCGTGCACACAAAAGTTACAGTGGCTGTCGTCTGGTCCAGCGGTCAACTTCAGCGCCTCGACGGCATGCTTGCAGGGCCTCTGTGTCGTCGACGTCAGCGGGCAGCACCTCTTCAGCCCCTGTCAGCCCCTGTCAAGCTCCAAAACTGCTCTCTCCCAGTAAATACTACCTCGACGCCCAAGCCACTGTCCATTTTCCACTGTAACCTTTGGACCTCAACCAGGAACGAATGTGGTACCTGCTGTCACCTGTATGTCCTAGTACTCCAAACCACTGGCCGACAGTCGCAGCAGGCGTGGCTTTCTGGTCACTTCTCGTTTTCCAACGACAATATTTTACGCACACAGATCTGCTGGCGCTCTCAGCACTGTCATCGACAAAGTGGCGCTCCCGTCGCTATAGCTAGCAGCAACCGCTAGCGGTTCGTCGATGTTAGTGGTTCTTGACAAGGCCGCTAGGCTCTGGAGAAGGCTGGCTCGCTGCAAATAACAATTCAGCTTCAGCTTCCAGCCGTCGGCGCAGCACTACGGCAGGCACAGGCACAGGAGGCAATCGGCACTAGCAGCCTGTTGCATCTGTCCGTGGTATCGTTGGGTTTGTTGACTGTTTTTTTTTTTTTTTTTTGCTTTTTCCCGCTACTTGTTTTCGTCCCAGTTCTATTTTGAGTGCGCCTCCTGCCACAGCTTACAGCGGGCACTTGCTGCAGGACGTCCACCGAGACCCACTAACAGCACCTGTATGCACTGTCGCTCATTCCCTCTCGCAGCATTCTGCAGCCTCTCGTAATCGTGTCTGCACACCCCCCTTTCGTCGCACACGCCCCCAGCCACGCCTCATTGTCCGTTCGCTCGCCTTTGTGGCTGCCATTCCTGTCGTCTCTTTCTTTTGGCTGCCACCCAATGTTGCCATTGCTCGTACCCCGTATTGCTTCGCTCTTGCCCCGTCCGCTTGTGGTTGTTTGTTGGCCCGCTCCTTCCTCGCATTCTGTCCACGCCTGACCATCCCATTTGCAGCATCTCATCAACCATCGGCCGCCCATGCATCGTGCACCTTCCTTCGCATTCAGGAGCTCTCCACCTTCCCTCTTCCCGGAAGGAAAGGTTGACAGGGAAGGAACGAGACTCGGCAGGTGCACCGTCGGGCAGGCGCCGTCCGTGTTACTTTGCAGCCTGCCCCTTTCACCAGCTCGGCAAGCCACACGCAATCTACGACCTACAACGTGCACAATCAGACAATCACCCATAATTCTCTCCTAACCCAAACAAACCCACTCACACCACACACTACGCCCACGCCCCCCAGGACCCAGACCAAGACTCGGACAAAAGACCAAAGACGCATCATTACGAAGACACACGGCGGCGAGGCGCTTCCTTGTGAAAGAGAGCGTTCAAGGTGCTGGTTCTGCCTTCCGCCGGTATTGCTTCGCTGACTTTTGCGCCCATTGCCTCCTGCCTCCTGCCTCCTGCCTCCCGCCTCCTGCCCTCTCACTGCTGCACCGCTCCCCCTCCTGCTCCTGCCTCGTCTCCTCCTTGGTTCCTTCCCTTGTCACCACCCCTGGTCGTACGCAAACAAGCCTGCCCACGCCAACCTCCCCCCTCAAAACTCCACTATTACGCACTCCTTCCCTTCCTCCACTGGCGAGCTTGGACGCTGTCGTTCCACCTCTCTGTTTCTTGTCCCATCTTTTTGGCCGTTGTTCTGGTGTCTTTTTTTCTTTTTCACCTTGCACGTCGACCAGGACCACCCCAGTCCACGACTTTGCCTCCCCCATACCACGTACTGCCCTCCAGTGACGACTGATAACGTGGTACGCTCGGTCTTTTTGTCTTTCTTGTCGTTCTTGTCTCTCTTCCTCTCTGCTCTCTCTCTCCTCCGCTCGTTTCTATTTTCCTGTTTCCAACCACTTTCGTTTTTTCTCGTCCGTCTTTCAATCTACTCCATTCTCCTTCGTTGACAACCTCTCTTCCTATTCCCTCTCGACGTACACCCTCGTCTCGTTCCGTCCCTCTCACGGAGCACCACCTTACCCGTATCTGTTCGACTCCCAACTCGGCGAGCACCTTCTCCTCGACACCGTGCATTTTCGATCCTGGACATTGATGCCGCCGACGCCGACACCGACGCCGACACCGACGCCGACAATACCCGCTACCCCATAAACATACGCACTCATATACATATACGGTTCCGTTGATCGTCTCGACGACCAGCGCTGCCCGGGGTCGACCTCCTCCGTCCTCTGTTTGCCACGGACACTACACAGCACTTGCTTCGCCGCACAACCAAGTCGCAACCATGATGGCCACATACAACAACAACAATGCCCACCCGCTGCCCGCGGCGCCGGTCGGTGGTGCCTCCATGCAGCCGCCGCCGCCTGTCCAGCTATCGCAGTCACAGTCGCAGTCGCAGTCGCAGTCCCAGCAGCAGCAGATGCAATACCTTCAGCAGTCGCCGCCGCAACAGCACAACCCCCTCCAGCCACAGACGTCAAGGCGCGAGTCGCAGACCTCGCGCCCCTCCATCTCCCACGGCAGCCGCCCCAAGTCCCGCAGCTTCAGCTTCCGCTCCGATAAGTCCCAGTCGATAAAGAGCGGTGGCGTCACATCCCAGAAGCTCGAGCCAGAGACACACGCCGAGAAGGAGGCCAAGCGCCTACACTCCAAGGCCGACCCGTCCATGGCCATCATCGAAGCAGAGCCGGGTAAGTCCAAGCCCTCTCGTGGGAAAACCACGATCGTGAATTGCGATCCCTCCTTCTGCCCTCTTTTGGCCGTTCATTTTCTCATTTTCTTGGCTCATTCCTTTTTTTTGCCCTTTTTTGTGCCCGTCATCCTCCTCCCCGACAACGACAACAGCATTGTTCATGTCACATTCTCATCATGGCCCTCTCTTTTCCCGTTTTTGTCTTTCCGTTTTTGTGTCTCTCTTATTTTTATCGCCATTTCGCACATTTGTCTTGAGTGCTCCTTCACGACATGCTAAACTAACGACTCTTGGAATGCAGCCACCGTCGCAGCAACGAGCAAGTCTAACATGGCCCCGCTCCGCAGCATTGTCCACCGAGACAACAATGGAAACCCCATTGGTGAGTGACCCAATCCGCAATTCCAGCCGTCGCCATGGTTTGTCTCCGTGGTAGTCGGGTTGCCTTTGCGCTGTCGCCCTGCATCGGCGCCATGGCATAGCCATCAGCAATGCGCTCGGCACAGCTCCCAGCAAACACCTCTACTAACACGCCTCCAGCCGAACCGGACAAGTCAAACCCGACCCGCTATCGGTGGGAACGGCCGCTCGACACCATCCGGAGCTTCGAGGCTGCCATTGACGGCGGCTACAACCGGAAATCCTCCTACCCGAATGACAACGAGTCCACCGCCAACTACTCACGCAGAAACAGCTACTACAATCGTATGTCGTCTCCGTCTTTCATTACTACTCAAGAACGCAGAACGCGGAACGCAGAACCGGTCACTAACTCCGCAGAAAATCAAAACAATGCCCGCTACCCGCAGGACAGCTACTACGGCCGCCCCCAGTCGTACATGCCGACATCTAACAGTGCTTACGACTTACGGCAGGGACTGAACGGCCGCGAAAGCTACCAGGACCAAGGCGGATACAACAACGGCGGCTACCCTGGCGGTCCCAACGGCTACGGGAATGGCAATGGTAACCGGCAACGTTACTCTAGAATCGCATCGGAGCCGATGATCCATGGCCACCTCGGCCAAAACCCCAACGGCATCTACCCCATCCCCAACAACCACCGCTCCTACGAGACCGTCGCCTCCGGCAGCGGCACGTCAGGCGAGCCCGCCGGCTACCTGACCGACCCTACAAGCAGCGACAACAGCTCCATTGAGCGCCGCCAGTCACCCTCCAAAACCAACATGAACATGATGGGCCCCTACGGCAGCGGCACCCACCCCCCGGGCGCCAACACCTACGGCTACAACGGCAACGGCTACAACATGAACGGCGGTGGTCCTAAGCAGAACTCGCCGCCGATCCAGCTGTCGTCTGCACCCACGCATCCTCAGATGGGCCAGATGGGTCAAATGGGTCAAATGGGTCAGATGGGCCAGATGGGTCAGATGGGCCAGATGGGTCAGTTCGGCCAGATGCAGAACGGCGGCGGCCCCGTGCCGCCGTCCAAGAACGTCATCACCCGCAAGCCGACCAACCTGTCGTCTTCGCAGGCATCAGCACAAACGCTCACCCCACCCGCACCTGCCAACGACAAGCGCAAGAGCTGGTTCTCCAAGCGGTTCAGCCGGCAACACTAGTGGAAACGTACCGTGCCCGCTTGGAACCAGTATTGAAGCGTCAAGGCGACGACAAAACATACACAAATACCCCCGGCCGATTTTTTCTTCTTTTATTGGTCTCTTCTCGTCTTGTGCTGTTGCTTTTCCGACCAGCTTCACACACACAATCTTCACCTAAAGAGAGTGGCCATACACTTATCTTTTATTTTTTGGGCAGCTGCACAAACCATGAATGATGACGACCAGTTGACCTCTTTTGTTCTTATTCTCTTCCCTTTACTGTCCACTTGTTCTTACTGAGACGCCAAGGCGCCGGGGCCATCCACACTCATTTACGCGAAAGCGCTTCAAGTTCTTTTTCGCACACTTGTACCCTCACTCGTACTCACTCTCTCCTTCGTTGCTTTCTTTTACTTTTTTTTTTTTTTTTTTTTTTTTTTTTTTTTTTTTTTTTTTTCATCCGCCTTGTTTTGTCACCATTTCCTTTGTCAACACCTCAATTCACCTATAAACGAAGTCGGACGTCCATATCGACTCGGGTCACCACAAATACCTACGACAACCGCCACTACTGCCATACGAACAGCAAAACGGAAACCAGCACTGACCTTGTTTCTGTGACGGCTCTTTTAATGTTTTTATTCGATGAAGGGAAGATGCAGAGAAGCTGACGGTGCGTCGTGCGTCGGGAACAAAGAAAAAGGAAGGGAAACGACAAATATACAAAAGCTCACTTGCAGATGTTGTGAAAAAAGAAAAAAGAAAAAAGGAACAAAAAAGGTGCGCTTTTGTTGCGAATTTGGGAAGAGGCAATGGGACAGAGGGGGGTGATAGAAAGGACGCGACCTGATGAGCCGAGTCTTGGTCTCGTCGCTTGGGCCTGCAGTGGCCTTTGAATTTTTCCATGTATTTTGCCCGTGCGTCTATTTTGTCATATTTGGACTTGTTCTCTTATTTGGTCACGCACTACACACTGAAACCCAGGATCCGGCGTTTTTATTTCTTTTTTTTTTTTTTTTTTTTTTTTTTTTTTTTTTTTTTTTTTTTTTTTTCAGTTTAAGTTTTTTGTTGTATTTTCGAATATTTAATGCTTGCTTCGGAAGGTTTTTATATATGGTTTTACTTTTCTTCACAATGCCTCCGCTAAAAACAATCGCATGAACAGTAGTGAAAATTGTTGTCAGTCCTTTAACGTTGAAAACGTTCATATATTTAGAGAAGACGAGTAAGAAAGTAAATATACAATAACATAAAATGAACACCGCCCTCAAGTACGCCACGGTGATAGGGCAGCGAATACCATATTCATCCTGCACAAAAGGTGACGCATAAATTTGAATGTGATTTACTCGCCCTTGTATCAAAGCTTGAATCACATTCCCATCTCACGAGGCACGCCAGTCGACGTTTCACAGCTAAAATTGTGAACAAGCAAAGGATGAAAGCCATATGATAGTCTTTCCACCATGCCCGTGGTATATTGTGAAAAAAAAAAAAAGAAAAAAAAGAACCACAAAAAAAGAGCCAAAAATCGAAATCCTTATCTCTACCTCTCCTTCTTCGTCTCTTTCTCGGCCAGCTGGTCCGACTGGTCCTCGTAGAACGCCACCACCACATACGCTAGGAGAACTACATTGGCGACGATGGCTGCCAATGCGCCCGCATATGTTGAGTTTCCTGTGCCAGGTTAGCAAGGTTCGACCGAGCGGCGACTTGTGGTGGCGCCGGCCGGTGTCCTGCAAAGCATACCTTTGAAGAGCACATTCACCGTCGCAAAATACGACCCGATTGGCGCCACAATCATGGTAAACGTGAAGCCCAGAAGCTTCAAGATGACGTGCCTAGACAATGGTGAGACACAATTATATCACAAGAAAGGGAAGAGCAGCAGCCCAAGGCTCCGGCAAAGCGGCACCATACTTTGGAACAGCCGGGGCAATGTTGGATTTCTCGCCAGCTGGCGGGCTGGCCCCGACGGTGTCATCCTTTTCCAGGATGGTATTTTCGCCCTCGGCGAGACGGCGGGTAGCCATGGCTGTGGTGGCAGGCGACGGCCGTTGCTCGTCGAGATTCGAGTGGGAATGAGGCGAGGGAAGGTGATGCGATGCCGCTGGCGGAGTATGGTCAATGCAATCACTTTATGCAACGACAGACAACGATTCTGGATATGGCCTATTAAAAGTATGATTGTTTGCAATCCGCCGTTGTCGTTTGTCGATGGCAGGAGTGGATGACGTCGGTCCGCCTTGTTGGTTTGTATGCCGTATGTTCGTGCGCTGGTTAGATGCAGCCCCAGACGTGTGCTTACATAACGCGCGCGTAAACGTGATAGCGTGTCTGGTCCTCTTGGCAGCTTTTGTCCCCAAATGTCTAATGGGGAAATCACTGCACCGTCAGGAAAAAGATGGGACCCCGCGCCTAAAAACGCGTTGCGGGCGTTCCCAAAAATGCAAAAAAAATGGCAATGCAAGGGACGGTGACAGGCATTGGCAACAAGATAGGCGGGAAACATCGTTTGTGATTTGAGTCGGTCAAGACAAGGAGGGCATCGACTGCCATCTCTCACGCATTTCCCTTTCCATTTGTTATATTGGGCGCCTTCCTTTCCTTTTTGTTTTCCAGACCGGTTGCCTCCTTCCTCAATCTTCACGCAAAGGTCCCAAGACGGTTCTTGCCGCATTCGTCTTTTCACGGCGCCTTCTCTAACTGGACATCGACGCTGGGCAGTTCTTCCCTTCTCGACAGCATTTGCTGTCCAAACACGACGCCCAATCACGAGCATCCTCTTTCAGCAGTCTTGTCATCGTATCGACACCGCCGCTAGACGACAACAGCAGCCTCCCTTCGCTCTGTCGTCGTCCCAAACATGGACTCGTCGCCACTGCCCTCGAGGTCACGGCCTGCTGGTTCGTTTGCGTCGTCGTCCGTGAGCAACCGCCGCAACCCCTTCACGATTGCCAAGGCGGCGTCACTCGCGCGGTCCAACAGCAGCAGTCTTAGCAATAACAACAAAAATACCACATCCTCCGTTCCAGCGAGGACACAAAAGACACCGAAAGCACAGCCCCGCGGGTCACGGCGAGACCACGACAGTGACGATGACGACGTGGACGACGACGACGAGGACGGTGACTACAATGTGGATGAAGAGGAGGAGGACGACATTGAAGACTCGGACAAGGCTGAGGAAGAAGAAGACGACGAAGACGACGAGGACGACGAGGACGACGAGGACGAGCTCGCCGGTGTCGGCGGCTTTGCCAATTCGCCCTACTTTACGCAGCCCACCCAGGCCATCACGCAACGCGTGACGCAGCCGACACAGCTTCTCAAGAAGCCGCCTTTGGCGCTCGGCGGTACCAAAGCTCTCGAGAATGTTCCCATCAACATCCCGTCCTCGTCACCCGCCCGGTCCATCATCGAAGTCCCTGCGTCTTCGCCCTTCCAGTCGCCCAAACCGCAGGTGGCACCGTCCTCTACGATCACCGCACGCGGCCGACTGGCCTCTCTCATGGCGCCGGTTGGCACGACGTATCGGTCTCCGGCCGCCCAGGCAGCGCCGAGGCCTGCATCTCCTGCTGCCAGAGTTGCGGACGATTTCGACGACGACCGGGCATTGGACAATATTATCAGCATTGACGACAGCTCGGACGACGACAACGAGAATGACCGCCGGCGGCGGGGCGACATCCGGCCTTCCTCGTTCCGCAGCCCAGACAAAGTTCGAAGACCGGCAGCCGCTGCCACCGCTTTGGAGACAGAACAGGAGCAAGACGAGGCGGGCGCAGAAGACGACTCCTCTCCACCAGCAGCGGTGGAGTCGAAGCCGCTCGGCCGTCGGATGCTTGACGACAGAAAAATCCAGACACTTGTCGGCAAGATGCTCAAGACACTGCGCAGCAAGGGCTATATGGACGTTCCTGTCGAGGTTTGTCGCGCCACCTTGATCGATCATAAGTTCAACGTCGAGGAAGCCGTGATGGACGTATTTGACGATCTCCTTGCCCAAGAGCAAGAAAAGAAGAAACTGCGTCTCGCCGCCCCCGCCCGGCCGTCGCCCATTGCCAAGTCCAAGGTCCCCGAGATGATCCGCAGCTTTTCCTATCAGGGCAACAGTTTGGGTTCTAAAGTGGCCGGCACAAACACGACCACCACCACCAACACGTCACGCGCTTCCACACCTGCGACCCCCTCGTCCCAGCACTCGTTGAAGCGGAGTGGTCTCAGCCCCGATCCGCGACCGAAACGCCGCCGGCTTGTCCAGGGACGCAAGTACCGAGGCCCGACCTCGTCGCAGGCGGGCTCGCCGGCCGTGGACAAGCAAGAAGAGACGGATCTGGTGGATCTAGACCGGTCGGTTAGTGACGACGACGACGACGCCGCCGCCAGTCCGCCGGCCATTGAGATCAGCGATGACGAGCCCATGGAAATGAACGATGACGACGACGGCGACGTGATCGATGTGGACGACGAAGACGACGACAACGACGACAGCGGCGACGTCGAGAAGCGGGTCCTCGAGTACTTCAACACCTGTACCGTTGACGACCTCGTTGCGATGCTGGGTGCCAAGGCCCGCGGCAAAGCCGAGACCATTCTCTCTCACCGGCCCTTCCGCTCGCGCGCCTCTGTGACGCGCATCCAGGCCGAACCGGCGGCTGGCGGTCGCAACAAGAAGAAGGCCGCCAACATTGGCGAGGACATTTTTGATGCGGTCGAAGAATACGTGATTGCCCTGCGGGCCATTGACGTTGTTGTAGCGCAGTGCGAGCAGAAGGGCTTGCAAATCCGATCAACGCTTCACCGCTGGAACGTCGACTTTCGTGGCAGCAACAAGCTCCAGTCGGCGGCTGACGGTAGTGGTGCCGATGGCCTGTTGACTCCGGCGAGTGAACCGGAAAGCTCCAACGGCATTCTCCCTGTCTCTGCGGATAAGAAGAGCAGTTATGTGCCGCTACCCATCCCACGGGAGCCAGAGCTCATGCGTGGCCACTGCACGATGAAAGGGTACCAGCTGTACGGCATGAACTGGCTGTGGGAGCTGTACAAGCGCAACTTTGGCTGCATCCTGGCCGACGACATGGGCCTGGGCAAGACTTGCCAGGTGATTTCGTTTCTGAGCCACCTGGTCGAGTCGTACGGCGGCGACGTGGAGGACGAGTCGTCGCGGCCGTGGCCCAACTTGGTGATTGTCCCGCCGTCGACACTGGCAAACTGGAAGACGGAGTTTAAAAAGTTTGCGCCCAAGATCCGCGTCACCTCGTACAACGGATCCACAACCGAGCGCGACGCCATCTTCCACCGGATTCAGGCGCGCCGCGACAAGCACCATGTGGTGCTGGCCTCGTATTCGCAGGTTATGGCCAAGCAGGACGTCGACGCCATGCGCAAGATCTCACCCAATGTGGCCATCTTTGACGAGGGCCACAAGATGAAGAACTCGGGCACCAACGTGTACAAGTCGCTGCGCCGCATCGACGCCAGCTGGCGGCTGATCCTCACGGGCACGCCCGTCCAAAACAACCTGATGGAAATGATCAACCTCCTCAACTTTATCCAGCCGACGCTGTTCGAGCGGCACCTGGAAAAGCTTGGCGCGCTCTTCAGCCAGCGGTTCACGCTGCAGGACGTGAGCAACGGCGCTCTTCTGTTCAGCGACCGCGTTCGGCGTGCCCGCCAGATCCTGGAGCCCTTTATCCTCCAGCGTCGCAAGGAGCAGGTGCTCTCAAGCATGCCGACCAAGACGTCACGCGTCGTGTGCTGTGAGCTCGACGACACGCAACGGCCCATTTACGAAGCGTACGAACGCCAGTTCCGCGAGGGACGCGAGCGCCGGGCGGCGGGCCTCAAGGGCGCTGCTGCCGCCTCCGATAGCACGGCACGTGCGGCTGTCGCACGGTCGGCTGTCACAGGCCTGTCCAACGACCAGAACAACGTATGGGTCCAGCTGCGGAAGTCGGCTATCCACGCGCAGCTGTTCCGACGCTACTACGACGACAAGAAGGTCCAAAAGATGGCCGAGATTCTCATGATGGAGGTGCCGCAGGCTGAGCTGCGGCAGCCCAACCTGGGCCATCTGGTCAACGAGCTGCGCGACTGCTCCGACTTTGAGCTGCACACATGGTGCCGCGACTACCACTGCATCCGCGAGTACGACACGCCCGACGGGCTCTTCTTGAAGAGCGGCAAGGTGCGCGAGCTGCTGTCACTGGTACGGCAGTTCCAAGCGAACGGCGACCGTGCTCTGGTGTTTACGCGCTTTGCGCGCGTGCTCAACATCTTGCGCGAGTGTCTCGAGCACGAAAACATTGCCTACGTGTCCCTCGAGGGCGCCACGCGCGTCGATGAGCGCCAGGACATTATTGACGAGTTCAACGAGAACGCCGACATCCCCGTCTTTTTGCTGACGACCGGCTCCGGCGGCACGGGCATCAACCTCACGGCCGCCAACAAGGTCGTCATCTTTGACCAGAGCGACAACCCGCAGGACGACGTGCAGGCCGAGAACCGGGCCCACCGCCTGGGCCAGACGCGGGACGTCGAGGTCATCAAGCTGGTGACACAGGGCACCATTGAGGAGCTTGTGTACAAGGCGTGCCAGACGAAGCTGGAGCTCGCACAGCGTGTGACGGCGGGCAGCGCAAGCCGTGCCGAGGAGCTGGAGGCCGCCGAATGGGGCGACGGCGATCGTGTCGCCAAGGCCGTCGAGGAAGAAGTGCGGAGGATGCTGCTGGCGAAGCAGGACGACAAGGACGAGAGAGGCGACACAAACGAGGCGGTGACGACGACCACGCCCCCCAAGAGCGACGACGGCGACAGCAACGGCAGGGGTGATGCGCCCACGAGTCGGCCACGCCGTTCTCGCAAGTAGGGGCAGGACGAGCACAGCTGGCCATGTTGTGGTTTATATCCGAAAATTTGTATATTTTGTTGTTATTGTTATTTTCATGATACAGGGTCATTACGGTTGTGTTGTACTTAGGATGGGTTGTCAGTGTTGTCACACGGTTCAGCGTCTATATAAACGGTTGCGGTCTCGGTCATCGGATTACAATGGTCTGCATATTATTGTCGCATTCGCTTTGGTAGACTACTTTGCATATAGGTAGGCATGTTATGATTTGTCCAAATAACTTGAACATGTCGTGTAAGTTTTATTTTTTTAATCATCATCCTCAACAAGAGATCCTATCACTATCGAGAGTGTGCGTTGCCGTCGTACGAGAAACAAATTACATCCTGCCGGGACTGCATCGCAATCGTCATACGCAACAAGATTTTCTCGGTCTTGTGGAAATTGTAATTTTTTCTTTTTTTGGTTTGTGTATATTGTGTTGTGTGTGTTGTTGTGTTTCCCAATCCATGTGCAATCATCGCATTCGACAAACCAGGAAGAATGAAACATGAAACATAGTAAAAAAAACTCCGTCCCATCCTCCGGCCACTTTTTTTCGTTGCTCTCTGTCCCGGGAGAGAAGAGAGCCAAGAGGGTCCTGATCGGGAGCGAGAGTGGTGCCTCTCATGAGGGAGAGAGGGAGGGCGAGGAGGCCAAAACACCAATCAAAAGGCGTTGCCTCACAAAGCCCGCCAATGTGGTTCTCGAAATCATATCGTCACCATCCCCTCGTGCACACAACGAACCCTCAACACCTCTTTTTTGTTTTGTTCCCGGGCCCGCTCCACACACGAACCTCCACACAATGCCCAATGCTATGCCCTGGCATATTGCATCCCGTCCCCCCTTTCCCCAGTCACCGTGGTTGCTTTGTCAACCCAAACGCAACGCAACTCTATCCCTTACATCATAGCGCACGCTCCCAGTAATTATATCGAAGAGGGGTAGAGCATGATGCGGACGGAAGCACCGAAAGATCTGGCGGGGAGGGGGGTGGCGAACTTGGCGCGGACGACACCCGAGTTGCCGTGTGGCCGGGTGACCTTGCCCCAGATGACCCGGATCTTGGTTCCCCGCTTCTCGGTCTGAGCCTTGTAGACGTACGCGACCTTCTTGCCCAGGTAGAAGCTACAGAATCGTATGTTAGTGCCGGGACGGTTTGCTTGTCTCGAGTGGGTTGTTGGGAGACGTTGCGCAGGGATGAAAAACGTACTTGGCAGCAGCGGTGTCATCAACACCCTCAATCTTCACCAGGCTGGTCTTGGGGTGGACGACGTGACGGCCACGCTGGTAGCTCAGGTGGCGACCCCTGTGAGAATTTTGTTAGTATACGATGCTGTTTTGTGCTCTATCATCAGTCGTATTAGGCGTCATCCCAAGAACCCCCCAAAAACCCTCGCATCCGCCTCCGTCGCATCAGCATCGAGTCCGAAATCCGTCGGCGGTCCGTTTTTGCAGTTTTGCAATCATTGAGCGCAGTCGTCCAAGAATCGTCGTGCACGGACATTGTCGTGTGTGTTGCTCAATGCTGTAATGTACAACGGTTGGATGTAAACCAGTGCGTGGCCAATGTCTGTTGAGAGACGTGTGACTCGCGGCCTTCGCTCTCTTTTAAAATGAGAATGTCACTGGGTCTCGTCGTAGTCGGTCGGTTGCTGCGAGTCCTATAACAAGTACCGTCTCGCGTGCCTGAATGCTGTTCTGATCTTTGGTGTTCGGTTTGGATACGGATGCGATGCTGATGTCCTGTCGACAATAGATGCGTCTGCCCACCCCTCTCCATTTCCCACGCTTGTCCTCGTCTTCTTCGGCTTTCTCCTTCGTTGCCGAGTGACAGTTGTGTAAACTTACTTCACATATACTGTGAAAGAAAATGCCATGTTAGTCAATGTTCATCCGCATATTCCAAGTCGAACTCTTCACGCCTCTCTGCGAATCGGTTCTTGCGACAGTCCATCTCCATATTCAACACAGCGAGCAAAAAAACGACGTCCAATGCAAGCAGACGCTCGCGTTTTCATTCGCATCCCGGCGACGTGGCCGGACAAGATTGTGCGCCAGATATGACGATTCGCAAAAGAGGATGGCCGGTGGCCCGCGCAGAAAGTGTCGTCTCGGCAACTCGATTCTCCTCGTGTCCCAGAGGGTAGAAAACACTCACGTCTGTGACCGCTCTCGGAAGGCATTTTGTGTGATGTTGGGGGTTGTCGAAAGACCAAAAAAGTCTCGTTCTGGCAAAAAAAACAAAACAGTTTTGTTAATGGAATTTGTTCGCAGGTTTGTTGTTGGGCGAGAAACAAGAGAGAGGAATAGATTGAGCAAAAGCAACAGTCTAATATTCGTCTTGTGCGAAAGACAGAGAGGGCTTCTTACTTCGTCGCGTCCGCGTTGGGTGTTGTCGATTTCAAAGTTGGCTGGGGGAGAAGGGAAGAGAGGAAAGGAGGAATATCTTTGTGAGGCTTTCGGATTGCGGGCCACTACTCTGTGAATATTTTGCGTTTGGACACCAAAGGCAGGTGAGTGGGACCAAGGGCAACACACCACAGAAGGCATTGGGCGGGCAAGAGCGATGGAAAAAAAAAATTCGTCTCCCCGTCCAAAAGCGACTTAGCCCGGAAAAATCCCAAACCCTAAGAGGGCTGGCCAATGCGCGCACATGCACGTGACAGTATTAGTAATGACGGTAGCGTGCAAATTACGGAACAATGGATGTGTGGCGCCATGATATGTGGCTGAAATCTAGGGGCACGTGCCAGATCACGCTCCCAATGTTCAACATCCTCTGTGTTTTGCACCGAAAGGCAGGATTTGCTGGTGCAGACGTCATTCAGCCCTGAGCTGCTAACAGCAAACGTACACGCCCTGGACGTTCGCGGATGACGCAGTTAGACTGCGTGTAATTGCTTCTTAGGTGGATGACATTGTAAATTAAGGTCTGGAAACGCAGTAGTCCGATATGAGCAGAAGCGATAGCTGTAGTTTGGGAAACCCAAATGTTGTGACTGTTGCTCGCTACGAGGCGGCGGTTATGTGATCAAAACAGAGAGCATCGAACGTCGACCCGCTGGAAAAGTCCGAGCTTACGCCGCAGGTTGCGTTAGATCCAGCTTCGGACCCGGCGGAGATGTCGCCGTTATGCTTCTTTTGTGCTGTTGTCCACTGCGCTTTCAGGGCTAGGCATGGAACCCATGGCGCATTGTACAACATGCACGTTGCATGCTGCATCGTTCCTTTGTTCCACAGCATAGCCGGTCGCGGTAGGGGACATCTTTGTCATGTAGATGGATGAGAACGATGCGCAGATAACTTCCAGTGGATATGAGCTTAGTAGAATGTGCTAAGCTATGCGCAAACTAGTTGTACGCTGTGCGCTGCCACCCACGTTCAAATTCTCACTGCGATTGGCAGCGCCTGTCGGCTCTGTTTGGCGCCGTCTTCATCGGAACTTGTAGCCCAATCCGACCGGATTTATTCCTATTCAACCGGACGACCGTATTCCAGGTCCCCTCTCGCTACCGCTCTTTTGCTTAACAATAGAATCCCCACTACCACGGTACAATATGGACGGACATTGGGGGTAGGCAGCGAAAGCGGTATTCGACAATGTGAGCAAGAATAGGGAAAAAAAAGCGGTAAGACAGGACGGTAAGCGTTTTTGGTTGTCTAGTCCTTTCGTGGAAGCACCGCCTGCCGCTTTCCCGCAGCATACGAGACGAATGGAATTGGTGATATGTCCTGTGCTCCGTAGTATTGGCCACACTGGTATTTCGCATGCCCGCCCGCTTCCCAGGAGTTGCATATTGGAAACGGGGCCCGTTGGTGCGCGGACCACCAGAAGCAGCAAACGGACGGAACAGACAACCCTCGTGGACAGGCACGCGGTACAGATGCTGGCCGATGCTGGGAGGCGGACGAACCTTGTGACATGGATGCAACGTCCTCTGCATCAGGAACGTGTCCAACTCGCACAGAGCGCGCAGCAGGGCGGACACACGTAGGTAGCGGCCTCGCAAGCCTACGATTTACTATGTTCCGCATCCTGTCCTCGTCCGCAAGACACCACACGACCCACTCTGACTCCTGTGGATTCGTTGTGTAGCCGCGACAAGCTCTTCCTCGATGTGGCCTCGGTCTTAGGAGCAGAATATGCCGACGTCCAAGAAGACCAAAGGGGGCCAAGAGGAGGAGCTTTCCTACCCAGCTCTTTGTAATTTCCCACCAATTCTCTCCCGGAAAAGCAACGTTTGGAGCTAAATGGTAGAATAGGCAAGAACGGGCCAGCCTTCCCTTCCCCCCTCATCCCAGGCACCGGATATCTGGCATTTCCGGCCATTGCTGTGTCCAGTGCAGAGACCGACGTAACTACGTAAGATTAACTTGCATTTCCCTTTCCCAGCATTTCGCCGCTTTTGCTCTGTCGCCTCGAGCGTACTTTTCTCATGTATTCCTACACAGTATATCCCGCCGACAGCCACGAACCGTTATTCGTGTTTTGTTTGGAGCCGATGCCCGCCGTTGACACGCGTGGCCCAGTGAAAAGGCACTCCGCATGGCTATTTTGTCATTTGCATTCCGTTTCCCCCGTCGCGACCTCCGCTGTCGACAAATCAAAATACTAGTAAAACGGACTCCGAGGAAAACGGGACAATCACTCGCTGTCCTTGCCGCCCACCGCGCTTACCAATTGGCCTTGGAGGGGCTCCCGTAACGAGCGCCCTGCGAAATCGGGTCTTTGTCGGCATCACTCGAGAGCGTCACTCATCCTCCACTGAAGAAGAAGAAAGCCTGAACTGTGACGACGGAGAGCGAGGCGGGTCGGTGCTCAGGAGGGGATGGTGAGTGATGTGTCTTAGTTCCAGTTCCAGCTCTCCCGTATCGCCGCATTGGGTTGCTCCTTCTCTGTGACAAAGCAACGGCCGATGCCTTGTATGATTTGTGAACAGAGGCAATACGGCAGGTGCATACAGTACGTCCAGTAGCAGGGGCCCTGCTTGACACTTACGGAAGACCCGTGCAGTATTTACATGCATGGCTCTGCAAGCACCTTACACACCATAACCACCGCCGCCGCCGTATATCTTACGAGTTACGGAAGGCGCGGATGGCATTGTCTCGTCCAGGTTTCTGTCCTCCAAAACGACAATAGACTGACAGAGAGCGTGCCTTCCTAATTCCGCATCAGCGCGGAGAACCTGGCGGGCTAGATTTATGCGGCGCGTGCATCTGTATTTCTGCGTAGGAAAGAGCGACATTGCCTCAGTAAGCTCCTGTCTGTTGCGTAACAGGGACCACCAGCCTGCCCCAGCGAAACGGACACCCCTAAAGCGGCAAGCACCTCTGTCGTAGCGCGGCAGAATCTTGCCTACATTGCCTACAGGGCAATAGCTTCCCCCGCCAATGCTCCGAGCTCGTCGTCATTCCCCCCACTTGCAGCGCTCTTTTTACCCATCGCCACAGGTGCAGTCAACAAATATGCTAGACCACGCCCCTCCCTGGTCCCCAGTGCAAGCCGCCCCGCGCTGCCGCCTCTCCGCCGTCGCCGCTCCTGCCCAGCATCATCACCGTTTTAGACCTCCCCAAAACGTTTGGCATTACCCGTTTGTTGTCCCTCCCTCCTTCCCTCTTTGTCTGTCTTCTCTGTCTTCTCTGTCCTTCCCTCCTTCCTTGTTTCCCTCTTTTTTTTTTTTCTTGCCTTACTTACCTTGATTTGTTTGTTCTTCTCGATTGAGCTTCATTCTCGCCAATTCCCCAAAGTGCATCATCCAGCAGCTTCTCCAACTCTGCTGTTCAATCCCCCCCTCCACCCATCGGACATCTCAGCGGTTTATCCTCCTGCGGCTTGACGATTAGCTCTCAGCCTATAATTCTTTTATTTTTTGCGCGCATCGAAGCTGTCCACCCCAGGCCGTCGCCGCCGCCTTTGTTCTCCCTTCTCCTTTCTCATCTTCGTCGTCACTGTCGTCGACTTTTCTTCCCATTTTCAGTCTTTTTTGGCTCGAATTCGTTGGATTTCCACTGTCTCATCTGCTCATCGCTTTCCGTCGCCCTCAATCTCAGAAATCGACAAACTGCCGCAATGGACGCCGCCACCAGCGACAAAGGGTATGTACTTTTCTGTCCTTCGATTTTGTTTCATACGAGGCGCCATATCCGCTTCCTTTGCTGTTTTCAATGGCTCAAACTCTCTCGCTTTGTCTCGCTCTGCCTCTTTCTGCCTCTCGTTTTCACTTTGCTGTTACTCTGCTGTCTACCCCGCCTCACCTCTTTTTGCTTCCCGCGTTGCTGCTTGTTTCCGTCCTTTTTTTCACTACCCTCCTTGTTTGCCACCCCCCATTCCAGAATACCCGGTGGGCGATTCGCTCGTTGGGCCGCCTGGAGGAGCTCTCCCAAGCTTCCGGCATATAAAAGTCGAGGGAAAAGCAGCTTCACAAGACTGGAACGACGATGCGACAAGGGGAATTGCAACGAGACATTCCGACCTGGCTATAAGAGAGACAGAAAGAGAGG